TATTATATATTAAACAAAAAATACTTTTTCCCACTGTATTGATTATTTTATTTCAAACTTATCTGAAAAAGTTTCTCTAAATAAGAATAGTCCCAATTGGCAACTTTTTAGCCAAAACCCATGAGGCCGCACGCAGTTATAGAGGAGGTACTCGCAATATCCAACGTTTGGAGCCTTTATAGCAAAACGCGCAAAGTCTAAGGTATGGGCGTGGTGAACAAGATCTGCACGCATAGCTAGAAAGCTATAACTACTGGAGCACTGCAACATGTCAGTACAGATTTCAGTTAAGGTCTCAGTTCTGATTGCAGGAGGCCAGTCACGTGACTAGACCTTGTCTAAAACCCTAACCCTATCTCTAACCCTGCGTTACACGTAAAGCCAAACCCTAGCCCTAAGCCTAAGCCTAACCCTAGTTCAGCATCTCTAACCCTTTCCAAACATAAACCCTAGCCATAACCTTCTTGCACCACCAGTCAAAACTGTGGGTCACGTGACCCTTGGTTTTGGGATTAACCCTTTAATACGCAAATTTCGGGGAAATTTTTAACTGATTTAAAGATGAAAGGCTTAAAAAAACGATTTCAGCACTGATTTCACGGTTGTCAAGGGAACTGATGCTGATTTACATAGCCAAACATTCAAACTCTCGAGGGATGCCTGCTAAGTTTTTGCTTGTGTCTTTGAATAGCGAACAGCTCGTTCAAAACACAGAAAAACTTGGTTTTTAAGTGTTTTTTAAAGTCATACTCAAGCACAAGAGCCCCTAGACTTGCATTATTAAGCTTGGCTAGTCGGCAGAGGCGCTCTTCTGGAAGAAATCAGAGGTGGGAAGCGATTTTGCGAAGAAAATGGCGATCGTCAGTTGGTTTAAAGCCGATGGCGCCATTGGAGTGAAATCGACTCCCTGGCTGTCTTGTGTTTGATTTTGCGACCTACCATGCAAATTTCGGCAAGTTTGGACTTCCAAAAAAAGCAATCGGCTCAATATTTTGTGGGTAGGACCGCATGACTTGGCACTTAAAAAAATATTAAAAATGCAGAGTACGGGTTAGTTCTTTTGTGGAAAAAATACGCAATTACCCATAAATCTGTGCRAGTGTGACCCAAGAAAACATGTAAGTCSGGGAGTGGACCTAAAGAAAGGAGCGTTTTCTCGGCTTACTGAATAAAACAATAGACAATAAACTGACCAATGTTAAGTCAATGTGTCAAACGTCTTGAAAAAGTTGAGTTTCGGCATGAATGTAAGGATTTTGAGCAGTAGAACTGGCAAGAATTCAAGCCATTCTCTAGTGTCCATGTCTAAATTGTAAGCGTGCGCAGCTCAGATCTCACCAAAAGAAAAGTGACTGTAATGGTCACGAAAAAGAAGCAGAAGTCTTAGTTTAGAATGTAGCAGCCAGGTAATGTCCTAAACAACACACTCAAGACATTGCTACCACCTTGGTCACTTAACTGAGAAAAGGGAATTTTTTAAAAGAGAGTGGTCGATTAGCGGACGAATTCGTCCGCATGCCTGTTAAAGGGTTAAAACAAATAAAACAATGTTCTAAATCTGTTCAATTCTCGTCTATTTGTATAATAATTGAGCTCTTTAGGAACTGAAATCAATAACTTTAATTTTATACTCTGTAGCTCACAAGTCGACTAATTGTCCCGCGAAGTTGTTGACAGCTTTATACGCGTCTGATTGTCTGGCCGGGAGTTTTCGGCATGTTTTTGTTGTGATTTTCACGATTTTTCGATCGCTATATCTCCGCGAATATAAAAAGCCCAAGAAAAATTTTTATATCCTTTTAAAGATCAAACTTTCCTTTATTTAAATGCACAATATCAGAAAAATCGATAACATACCGGGCAGGAAAAAATGATATTCAAAAAGTGTGGTAAATTTAATTTTTTTTATTGGCCAAATTTTACACTTTTCGATTGCTTCCTATGGACTAACAAATGAACTTAAAAAGTCACAATTTAGATCCAGATGCTCGTTGTTGTCTGCTTTACATGATTATCAACTTGGTTTGTGTTTTTATTTGTGTCAAATTGATCGAATAAGACGTTTTTGAGAAGTCATTACAAGGCGATGTTTTTGTCGATTTTGGCCATTTCCGGTTTGGATCATGTTTTTGTAAATTTCTCGCGTTTAAAATAAAATTTTCAAAAACAAACCCCACCACGATTCTTAGTATATAATAGGGRTTCAATGGTTAAAATATGAAGGATTTTGATTTTTCATCATGTGCCACTTATTCTCGATTTTGCTCBGTATTAGTCGACATTCTCTCTTAATTGTAACACACACTTTGCAATGCTGTCCACCCAAACAACAAACCCAGTCCCCACGCTCTTCTAACTAGTTCTCATTCCCCGGCTCATTTCCGTTTTGGAGAATTATAGGTTTTCACCTGATTAGAAATTTCATCATCTTCTAGTTCTCTTTTGACTCATTCCAATAGTCCATAGCTGATTTGGAGATTTGTTTCTGGCTGTCCTGATATTGTGATCATTCCAAGCTTGAGAAAATCTGCTACAATCTCTCTATTCTTTGATTGTGGACACTTGGTCCAGCGATGATACTGCCTCTGCCATGCCCTCTTGCTTGATGTGTTAATATAAACCAAGCTACATTAACATTTTCACCACCATGATCTGTCCTTACACGTGATGGAAGTCCATAAGAGGTAACTGCATTTTGAAACAAATTCAAGACTGTGCTAGCAAGATTGTTTCCACTGCATGATAGGAACATGACCTTTCGTGAATAGCCATCAATACAACCATGTATAACGAACTTCTACCTGCATTAAAAAATATGAACTTTTACATTGTAAGGTCCACAGGTATACTTCCATAAATAATAAGAATAAAAATGTAAACATGGTTCCCATCTATGTGCCAGAGGGAAAGAGGAGCTCTCACACAATATGACCGCCTGTGAGCCACTTGGATTTGAAGTGCTCTTACAAGAACTCCTATGAAACAAAAAATTAACTAATTGAAGGTATGGGTGCAGCTTATGTTGGAAAATTAATTCTTTAATGATTATGCAGAAATTATGATCTTTTTGGCTCATATTTCAAGTATATATAAAATATTATTATATGACATATATGACATTATAATTTCTGATATCTTCTATAAACTTAAAATGTCTTAAAATGATCAACATTTATGCATATTGCTGTATATAATATTATAATTGTATACACATACATACAGCTGTTTGAAAATTCTGATCCACCAACACTAATATTCATATTTACATTACATGTATACAACTGACCTTATGTATTTTCTCACCATTCTCTCTTTCCCACCAACCACCTCAAAAACCTTCCCACTTTTCTTATTACATAGGCCACATTTACAAAGCTTAATTATACATAATAAAAAAGTGCATATGCACGAAAGTAATCTGAAAAGACTGTCGTGAATAAAGAACGAAAACAACGGAAGCAGAACGGTAGTGCTCACCTTTAGGATCAACTCTCCTCATTGCCTCTCTAATACGATTCTCTTGAACCTTGTGAGCCTGAGATAGCAGATGACCTTGCATTGTCTTGTAGCCATAGTTGGGGAACTCTTGAAGTATACTTGCAATACAAGAGTTCAATTCCACGCTCATCATATTTGAATAGGTTGAACATACAGAACTTCCCGATTCTTTTAACCATCTGTAAATAGTCTTTTAATTCACAGACAACAGATTGGCGATTTCAGTAGCAGTAAATCCTATATCCAGGTAGTAATGAAGTCGTTCTAAACTGATATTAAGTTTGGGTCTTCGTTTGTTTCCAGTTAAAATCGTACCTACATAATGGGAATTAGCCACAGAGTTTCCTTTTACACATGAAAGTAGCAATCCTCGGACTTCTTCTAGGGTCTCCAAAAGCATTATTTCAAACTCTCCTCCTAACCTTAAAGTCAAGCAGCAAAGCCATTCTTATACAACACAAAGTCATAGTTTGCACATGATTCTAAAGAATTTATAAAAATGCAGAATTGACATAGCAGAACGAACAAATTAATTGATGAATTGATCAGATTGATCAATTCGAACAAATTAATTGATGAATTGATCAGATTGATCGCCTGCCGCGAAACTGCAGTTCTATTATGGCGGGAATCTCGCAAGCTTTTACTGCGGGGCAGTTTTTATTGAAAAATGTCAGCAAATGTAAAAGTAACCCCCGTGAAATACGTGGCTGAGACCTGTCGAACGTGTAGCAAGACACTGAATGCGTCCAAAGATCGTTTTAAATTATTTGGAGCCCAGGAATTGTATAAAATTTTAGAAGTGATTCTTGAGAC